AGCCCAGCAGCCACTGAACCCCCAGGGAAAGGGAGAAACCCACCCCAGCATTCCCAAAGGTAAGGAGGCTGTTAGTGTGTGTGTGTTAGTGTGTGTGTGTGTCTGTTAGTGTTTGTGTGTTAGTGTGTGTGAGTGAGTGTCTGTTAGGAAGTGTGTTACTATGTGTGTGTCTGTTAGTGAGAGTGTATGCGTGTCTGTTAGTGAATGTGTGTTTCTGCTAGTGACTGTATTTGTCTGTTAGTGAGTGTGTATGTCTGTTAGCTAGTGTATGCGTGTCTGTCAGTGAATGTGTGTGTATTTAGAAGGCAGGGCAGGGGGGATCGGTGGGGGGGGGGGGCGTCTGAGTTTTGTCATGCCTAGGACAGCACAAAACCAGGATACACAACTGTGTTCTAGTGCATCTAGTTTGTCATTATAAGGGGGTGCTCTTAATCTGGAAACTTTTCTTTTATATTTCTTTAAATAATCGTCTTTAAATCAAAGGTTATGGAAGGAACTTGGTGTTACATGCTGCCATTCTATTTTTCTTATTGCTGCACACTTATCTATTAAATCTAATTTTCCAGGACAGTGTGTCCTGCCAACATCTGTCTCGGTATCCCATCTATTGCAGCCAGTTAGTTCAGTGTGTGTACTCCTATAATGAAATGGCACTGCATTCCTGGATTATCAGACTATTTCTTTTATTTATACTGGTTTCCATTGCGTTCCTTTCTCAAATCCAAGTATGTAATCCAAGTTTTTATTCCATCATGAATAACTTGTCTGTTCTATTATGCACCATTTTGCTTCCATTCTCAGCGAGCACAGCTAGTTATAGCTCTTTACGTAACGTCTTACGTAATTCTATGAGATTTTTGTCTGAGTGTTCTAAATTTAATTTTTACTCTCAGTTTAGGGCTTTGAATATAAGAGTGGCTGGGGAAACAGTAACATGTTATGTTATAATGTCTCATTTAGATCATCACTTTACAGAAAGATGATCTCAGTGAACCCATTTAGTGTTCCTAAAACGTATTGATCTGTGTTTTGGAGATATATTATAGCCAAGCAAAATTTTTATAAACGGTACTCTCTGTTACCATCATGTACATGTGGATCTTGTAGTATATAAAATGTATTTTTAAAGAACAATCCCTTTCGTTTAGAGTATGCTGGTAAGTTGGAATAAAGAGCAGTTGTATGGGGCAAAGCTTGCAAATGAGACATGGTGGATGGCATACATTGCGGATCTTGCAAACCTTGTTTAAAAATGCTGATTATTCTGAGCCCATTGTTCCATCCAGCCGGAAGTGACCATGCACTTATCTCCAGGCATCCCATGAGCTGATCAATGCCATTCTTTCTTACCCTAAATATGAAGTGACAGACATGCAGGCCTGGGGCATACTGCTTCCAGTCCCTCCTTGGATTTCAGAGTCTCCTGGGCAGATTATACACAGCTCTAGCCATAAAGAAAGATATACATAATCTCCTGCAGAATGCCCAGAAGACACAGCAGTGGTGAAAGCAGATATCCAAGCTGTTACAGACCAGGAACATGCCTCGAAGAAGGACATAATAAACTTTCAAAATGTTATGTCTATCATGAAGGACAATATTTGACAAAATCATTCTACCTAAAATGTACTCACCTTGCAAATAGCCTCAATGTAAAACCTATATTGGTGAAACCACATTAACCCCTTATGGATCAAACTTCTGGAATAAAAGGGAATCATGACATATCACACATGTCATGTGTCCTTAAGGGGTTAAAAATAAGAGGCATACCACCACTGCTGAGGAACTACCACACTATTTAATGCATTTTATGGCATCGATCTTACCCCCAAGTCAAGCTAGGAAGCTCACTATTATTGGGCATCACCTACTGCTATCCAGGATGTAATTGTCCACTGCTCTTCCTCACAAGATAAGGGCCTCATTATGTCAGGAATACGTGCAGCGCTGTATTTAGCGCAAGGCTGACAAGGCATTTGCCTTGGGCAGCACTTTCAGGGGGCAGCAAAAAACGTCTCCCCAAACACCCTGGCAGATACCTTGTCAGCCTCTTGTCCTGGGGGGTCAAGAGCTGGCCGACTGGCCACCTCAGTGTCCCTGAGGCAGGCAGCTGCTCAGTTTGTAGGCGGGCTGCAAGAGAGCGCTTTCTTCTGAGCTCTTCCTGCTCAGCCCCATTCGTGCACACCGCAGTGATGCTGGAGATGGAATATGGCATTACTCCAGCCCCAGCATGCGGGGGAGCCCGAGTTTCATCATGCCTAGGGCAGCCCAAAACCAAAATACACAACTGGCTACGGGGCAATATGCCATATCCCTTTAAAGAGTCTTGCTTCACTTTCTACCAACACCTTACAAGGTTCTCACTTCAGTGGCGCCGATCTCATAATTTTGTCATACTTCAGCTGCTGTCCGCCAATGGAATACAGATAGTGGGCACCTAGTTCCCTGGTAGCGACTCATAACGGGACTGTTAATAAACTCTCATCTACTACAGAGGCACTCTCTTTTCTCAAGGCACGGGGACTACTGACACATACTACAAAATCAGCCAGCCTAATTCACATGTCTGGGATCTGAACAGCCTGGTCCCCTTTGTTCCAAGGGGAGGAGTAGAAGCCCAACCAGGAACCTGACTTAAGATGGAGATGTGGTTGAGATGGGCATTGCTTCATGTTTTGCCTGTTTTTTTTTGTTTTTTCTTACTTTTATTTTCACTTATTTGTTTTACTCATGTGATAAAGTCCTGTTTAACAATTGATGTGTCTCACCATCTAAGACAAGTTTAATTCCCACTAATCACCATATTTGAGCCACTCACCCCACTGCCCCCTTGGTTATGGGTATTAACCCCAGCAGAGCCTAGCCTGTAGATTACAGAAGCGGTATGGTATCTACTAATTTCATTTTTTCTTTTACCAGCACATTTTTCTGTCATATCTTGGCTCCTGATATAATCGTTTCACCACTCTTGTATTAACATTTTAAAAAATGGGTTAGAAAGCATATGTACTTTCTTTTTTATTTCGTATAATACTCAATATGATTCTACTGAAATGTACTATTGTGTATCACCCAACATAAAAATAAAAAAAGAGCAGTTATTTGTAACCAGTCCCCCACAATAATGATTATTGCTTGTTTTTTGTTGTATGTTTCTTGTGTAAATGCTTTTGAGGTATATTGATTTTATAAATCTTTTAGGAGCATAGTGCAGTTTTTTCCAGTTTAAAGTAAACATTTTGGTCATTATAAGTTACTTCCTCATTTTTTTACAGATCTGCATGAACGATTGCACTTAAAGCAAGGTTGAAAGAAGAAAGGAAGGGAGGAAATAAAAGGATACCAAACGAACGAAAGGCATTCACTGTGAAAATAACGTAAATAATAAACTATCTACAGGGGAATGAAACAATGATCGTGAAATTTTCGCTGAATGGAAGACATAATCTGCCTCATCTCTGAGTATACCCTCTACTAGAGTCACAAAGGAAAAAAAGGGGAAGTGAGCAGATGGGTAGACTAAATCTTGAAATTCAACGCATGTCCAAACCAACATGAACTTCTTGAGACATTAAACATGTTGTGTAATAAATAATAATAACAATAATTTTTGGTATGTGTTTTATTAGCAAGAGAATAAAAACGATACCACATTTGCTTATGCATCCCATTTAAATACCCACTACTATTTTTAGTCCCAGTTGAACTCTGCAAACCCTCAAGAAATTTAAAAAAAAGACTAATTTACTAGCCACAAGATTAATGTTTCCGATTTCCTATTATTCCTCTTACAAATTGATTTGAATATGCCTTTCTCATTAGTCACACATTATCAAAGTCAAATACTGATTTGCATAAGTCGTCTGTGTTATTATTTTGAATACATCAGTATAGTTATTCTACGTTGTAGGTGTGTAAACCTTCCCAGTTAATGGCAAATGGCCATGCATGTAATATTACTTTGAAATAACCAATGCTTTACTTGCAGCGCCGGACTAAGCCAAGCCATGCAGCTTCCGGCTCTCTGTTAGAAGTAGTGAAGGTGGCAAGTGGCACACTGCGGACCCCAAGTTTTTTTTATTCACAAGTGAGAATTCAGATGAATTCAAAGTGAATTTCAAATTTTTGTTAATTTTTTAGTTTAAAATAGCCAAATTAGAAAAAAATAATTTAGTTTGAGTATTTTCATCTAAAATTCTTAATTTACTGTAAATTGCAATTTACACTTCAGCCATTTGTGGGTTCTGATATATTAGATGTCACTATTAACAGCAGCCAGCTGGTAGCTAAGTACCGACTGGTTTCCAAGCTTGGCACTATTTTTTTTATTGGGTGACTATCAATGACTCCTGGCTGCGAAGATACAGACCAATTGCAGACCAGTCACTCATGGTAACAAACAGAAACACACAGTTGTCAACATGGCAGCCATATCTTGCCAGCAAAAATGGCTCTCCCTAAACATGCGTGCTTCACCATGTGACAATTTAGCAGCAGTGTATGTAATGTATAAAACTCTGATTTTATGCCGCAACAGATTTATTTTATGTAACTTTTTTTTTTTTTTTTTTATCAATGTACATTTGTTTAGGTGAATTTCTTCTGCAATGCAGTCTTTATTTGGAGCCGACAAAAAACAGCATTGTCCCAATCCCCTCCCCATCCCTCATCCAATCAACTGTAAGACTAAATGCAAAAGAATAATAAGCGCTCTCTTCTCAGGGATAAGCTGCAGTTCACCAACAAGGTGTTCCTCTACCTTGTGATAAATGGACAGATAAAATAGAAAGGTGAACAGCGCTAAAAATCAGAAAATGTACATACGTTTTGTAGAAATACTGGCCAGCAGAGTAACTTAAAAAAAGAGAGAAACAAAAATACAAATAATGGTACAGTATGTATGAACGATATAATTCCACAAGAACAAAGGTGTTATATTCACACTCACACTTTGAGGAACTATATCAGCTCGGTGTTAAGAGCCTGGACGGAATAATCCCCGTCTATGGATTTCTTGAGGTTCAAGACCGTTGGTGAATTTATAGTTGTAAATATTCGTTACATGAAAAACAAGAGTAAAATACACCACATGGTATAGTACGTAAATATAAAATATTGTGAGAAAAAAAAAAAGTGGATGATCCTACTTACATATACTAGAGCAACGACCTGCTCTAGTTTGGAGAATTTCAGGTGGAATAATCCCCACCTTGGGATATAGTGGACCCAGGTATAGCAGCAAAGCAGTATTGGATAGGAAGGAGGACAAAAGGAATGACTGGATAGTTTAAAAAATATATATACTTTAATACAATAAGTGAAAAGTGAATAATAAACTATAAAACCAGTCCTGTATAAAAGTCCAAAATTCTTCCTCACTTGACGCGTTTCGCCGAAGCTTTCTCAAAAGTGAATCATCAAAAATTGCCCCCCTTAATGTTCCTCTCCCCTCCCTCTTTTTCAGTGTTCTCCCCCTCTGTCCCATAGTGTTCTTTCCTGTTCCCCCCCCTCCCCTGTCCCATAGTGTTCTTTCCTCCCCTCCCCCATAGTGTTCGTACCCTCTCCCCATAATGTTCTTCCCCCCTGTCCCATAGTGTTCTCCACCTCCTCCCCTCTCCCATAGTGTTCTTACCCCCCTACCCTATCCCTGTCATGTATTCATCTGCTTATAAAAATATGGTTAATGGCATTTACTGTCCACACAGGAAAAGTTGCAGCAACCAAATCCACAGAAGGGTTAAGGCTGAGCAGCAATTATCCAAATGGGTTCCTGGTAACTGCCTTTGGGGTCAAAGGACGGTTACAGCCTATCAGATCTAGAGGAGGGGTATTTAGGCAGGGCCGGACTGGCCCACTGGGATACCGGGAAATTTCCCGGTGGGGAGGGAATAGAGGGGAGGGAGGGAATAAAAAGAGAAGAGGGGGGGAATAAAAAGAGGGGAGGGGGGAGAAGAG